TTGCAGGGTGGTGGTCAGCCCCTCCACCTGAGCCATGCGAGCCCCTGCTGGCTCCCCCACCCCAGTCAGAGCCAAACCTCGGTGCCCACCCCCCAAAGCACTGCACTTTTCAGTTGTAATTTATTTCTGATGAATGATGATACATTGCACTTGTGGGAGGGGGCTGCTTCCATGCCCCCCCACCAGGTGAAAGCTGCTGGGGAGCAGGTCACTGGGGGATAGCTTTGCTCCCCCCCACCCACCTTGCATTGAGTTTGTGGGGAAGGGTCACTGCAGACAGGGCCAGAGCCCTGCCCCGCCCTGCAGATTGCCCATTGGAAGTGTGGCTGTGCCTGCCCCCCCCCCATCATACCCCAGTGCCCCAGGCTGGCAGCACTGGACTCACCAGCACCAAAGCACCCCCCCTCCTTAAAGCATGACCCCCCATTGCCCCCAGGAAACCAGGCACAGAGGATGTCCCCCCCAATCCTGTGCCCTTCTTCCTGTGGACTGGATGGCCAGTTTGGCTCTGGGGCTAAGCCATACCTCGCAGCAGCCAGGCTGGGCCCCTGCCTCCCATCCCCTCCCACGGCTGTACTATAGCCCATGTCTGTAGTCCGTCTGTCTGGGTGTCACACTGCTAGCGCGTCCCCACACGCAGGGTTCAATTAAAGACCGTTTTGTATGGAAAGTGCTGTGGGCCTCATGTGTCAAGCAGGGGGTGGGGGGATACAGGAGGCCTGGCCTCCATTGTCAAGGGGCAGCTGGTAGGGACAGGCCCCTGCCCAAGGCACCAGGGCAGGGCTGGAGGGGGCAGAGAGGGTGGCTTGGCCTGCAAGAGGCAGCCAAGCTCTCTGTTACCTTGGGCAGGGGCTGTATGCTCACCTGCACAAGGAGACAAGGACTGGCACCTGGCCCTTTATGTACATAGCCATTAAAGAACAGCCTAAAATTGTAAAGTAGGTTAACCCCCTGCCTGAGGCAGGACCAGGACCTTCACTGTCCAACCAATCTTGACCCCCAACCCTGCCACAACAGACCCAGCAGCCAAACCTGCTGCAAGGCTACCACAGCAGCTAACATCCTGCTGCAAAAAGCGGTTGAGATACCACATAGATGCCACCCACTTGGCTGCAGCAGAAATGAAACCCCCACTCTGTGCCAATCTGACCACAGGGTAAAGTCCCTTCTTGGCCACAGCTTTGGTGAGTGGAAGGGCCAGGGAGTTGCTGTTAGCAGAAGTCAGCCTACCCTTCTTGAAGTCCCCAAACTTGACTGTAGCCAACATAAGGAAAACATATCTGTCTGTAAAAAGGAGAAAAGCCTGAGCTCACATCAAGACATGCTGGAAGTGAGCTGCAGGGAAGTGTGGATCCAGGACAAAGCAGAGCAGTGCCTCCTGGTGTCCAAGGGGAAGCATGGCTCAGAGCTGAACACCACTGCTGCCTCCTTCCCACCTGAGTCAAGTGGGGCCCACTCCCCAGCCCCTGCCTGCTCCATGATTAGCAGGGGGCCTGGGTCTTTGAAGCTGAAAATTAGGGATCTTTTCAAAACAAAAAACTAAAATCTACATTTTTCCAGTTTTAAAAGCATGGAAAAGTACAGATTTTGGGCCAAGGGTGGGTGGAAATACAGGAGTACAGCTGGGAGGAAAGAGAAGCAAAGAGCCACTAATGCAGTAGCAAAAAAACACTACAACACATGATTGGGTTTGTTTTTTTTTTTAAACTCTGTGTAAAAAACAGGCTAAAAACACAACAGAAGTATATTATAAGAACCTTTTTTTTTTCTTACTGACAAGCAAAGTTATATAGTGTTTATTAATATTTTCAAAATTCACTCATCAATAAAAAGGATGTATTGTATGTTTTTTTTTTGTTACTGACAAGCAAACTTTTTTACTGTCATGCAGTGTTTCTTGGGTTGACAGTGCTGCTAGTATACAGTGGCAGCACTATAATGAATATATACTAGCAGCACTGTCAACCCAAGAAACACTGCATGACAGTAAAAAGTTTGCTCGTCACACACACACACACACTCTCTCACGCTCACCCTCTCTCTCTCTCTCTCTCTCAATGCTTTATTTTACTGACAACCAAAAGTTGGGGGGCGTTTTTTGTGTGTGTTCCATATATTTTTTTACTGACACTCAGCAGACATGAGGGGACAAAAACCCCTTCCCCTTTAAAACTGGCTGGAACAGCTGCTGTAGACTTGGCAGCCCCAGCCCACCCTGTAACCTCCAGTTCCCTACTGAAGTTAAGGCCAGGCAACTCCCCCAGGTCTAGAAGCAAGTCAAACCTAGCTGGCGTACAGGGATTTACCAGGGAGTAGAACAAGGAGCACCCAAACCCCCACTAGCCACCAGCGGCTACCGAGCTCAGTATCCCACACCCTAAAGAAAGACGGGAGACACAGCAGATCCATTAACAAAATATCCTCCAGGTTCTATTCACAAGGAAAAGCTCCAGTCCATCTTTTTATTTTTTTTTTTTGAAAAATTTTCTTGACATTACAGAACTAAACGGAAACGTATTAATATTCCACTCGTACATTTCATGACATCAACAGAAAAAAAAACCAAAAAAAAGAGCCACAAACTTGGTGAGCTGAAGGAAAAAAAAATAAAATAAAATAAAGGAGGGGGGGCGGAAAGCTTACAAAACTAAAGGGATGGATTCTCAGCATTTTAAACAGCTGAACAGAGAGGAATTAAAATGCTGCAATTAAAAAAAAAAAGAAAAAAAGGTAGGATCATGAGTGGATGGGGAAAGCGTGTAGGAACTGAAAATTTACAAACTAGTTAAAACCTGGACTCTGACTGTTTCCAAACTACAGATGGATCATGGTGATGAACAGCAGAAGGGGTAATGAGGGAAGCCTTTGCATTCTCCTAGCTGCTTCCCATTCCACCGGTCTCCGAGGAAAGCCTGCAACAAAACAGAGGCATGACCACCGGCTCAGTAAGAGAGCAAATCAAGGGTTAAAACAGGGAAGCTGATTGTGGGGGCAGGAGCCTTGCCCCATCAGTCTGCCCCAGGTTTGTGGGGCCTCCATGGCAGAGGCCAGGGGTGCTAGGTGTTGTATGGAGAGGGGCAGCCTGAGTAACCCTCTAGGACATGCACCCCCAGCATCACACACAGGTCTACACACCTTGGGGGCACAGATGTAGGTGCATTGCTTCCCCACTGTCCAGCTCCAATGGTTAAATTGGCCTCCAGTAGCTGCCCTAGAGCAAGGGGAGCATGGGGGGCTGGATGGGCCCCCACACCTGCCCAAGGGCAGAAGGACCCTCCCAGGCTCAGTAGACCAGGGTGCCCCACTCCCAGCCTTTGCAGCTTGCCTGGCACTCAAGGGATTGAGGGCACAGAAGAATGGTAGTGGGGGCTTTTCATCAACCCCCTCACCTTAGTAAGGGTGCCTGGCTCCCAGCCATGAGGAGCTGAACCAGCCCAGCTGTGGGGGGAAAAAAAAAAAAGAGCCAGGGGCTGGGCTGTGGGAGCTGGGCCAGCAGCAACTCCAGGACTCACCCAAAAAGCCAGCCACAAGGCAGGTATCAGACCCAACAGGAATGGACATGTGTGTGTGTACACCTCCCTGACCAAGACACTCACACCACCCCTCCCTCCCTGCCCCCCCCAAAAAACCCCATACATAGGAACAAAGAGGCACAAGCCAGAGCTCCCCATCCCAACCCTGCCTCAGCTCCTCCAGCCATATCAAGCACCTGGATGAAGGCAGCTGAGACTCACCAGGACTGAAGCCCCAGCTACATTGGGGCAGGGGATCCAGAGCTGCCCTTACTCCTAGACATTTCCCCAAGCAGCTGCTGGGCTCCAGACCCTTAAAAGAAGGCCCAAGGGCCACAGCAGGCAGCAAGGAGGCTGGAGGGGCAGCAACTGAAGGGTCAGTGCCAGGATGGTTCAGTCAGGCCAGGAGAGACTTGCCTTGGCCTGAAGATGTCAGCAGCTGCAACATCAGCAGACCCCCTTGCCTCCCCTCTATAGAAGCCCTCTAAGGATGGGGTCTGAAGGGGAAGCCCCAAGGAACCTGCCCTGAAGGCCTCACCAAGCACACAGCTCTGCCCTACTCCAAGTGGGTGAGGGTGGGATGCCAAGGGCAGGGGACTCTGATCCATGGGGGCTTCTGGCAGGGCCCAGGCCTGGGTGGAGGATGCAAACTCAGGAGCCCCAAATAGGCTGAACATTCAGCAGCAGAGACCTGTGGGAACAGACCCCCTCCCCCACCCACACCCTGAGCCATTTCCCATGCCAGCCCAGCCAGCCACCTGGCACCCACCATGTCAAGCCACCAGTCCAGCCAGGGGAGCTGGATCAGAAAGCTAAGTAATTTGCCCAAGGTTACAGAAGTCACAGGCCCCAGCCCAGGCAGCTGAAGTGAGATTACCAAGAGCCAATTTTCAGCCCCAGAGGACAGGAGAAGAAGAAAGGGAAAGGGACTGAACAGGCAGAATCCTAGCCAGCACCAATGGGTCTGGAAAGCCACAGTACAAGATAGGACCTGCTGAGCAGAGACCAGCTGTACCCAGCATGGACAGAGGGCAACAGCAATAGCTCCACTACTGCAGAAGAGGAGTTTCCAGGAGAAGGGAGGGCTGTACAGGGGGGCTCAGCATCTGAGCCAGCAACTACCACCCTCCCACCCAGAACCAGAGCCCCATGCCACTCCACTGCCAGAGAAAAAGCCATGTGAACCCCACCCTCCATAAAAAAAAAAAAAAAAATCTTACTACATTGGCTCCAGAGTCCCAATAAAAAATAGCCGGTTCCAGCCATTCCTTAGCTCAGCACAGTTACCTCTACCCTGCAGGAGCCAGCATCAGGAGGGGTAAGGGCAACAGCCTAGGCTACATGATGTGCCCTGGGCAGAGGAGAGGGGTGAGAGAGAGAAGGGAATCTCTACCCCACTGGGCTCCTGGGACAGGCCCTGCCCACAGCCCGGGGCCTAAAAGGGGCACATACCTACACGAGGGAAAAGCTAGGGGTCACCCCAGCTCCCCACCCCACCGCTGAAGGAAGGAGTCCTACCAGGATGGGCAGGGTCCTGGGGCCCATCTTGGAGCAAAAGAAATGGCTGTGTGCAAACTGTCCTGCCACCCAAGGGACTGCAAGATGGCAGCTTCCTGTGCATGCCTGATGGAGCAAAGACAGGCACCAGCCCTCTACAGAAGAGCTTCAGCCCCCCCCACCCCAACTAGTCACAAGCCTTTGTCAGGCAACACTGAGCTGGCTCCATCAGGGCACCTGCCTGCATAGCTCCAGCATGAGCACAAAGGGCACAGGTAAGAGAAGCCCTGCCCTGACTAAGCTTCATGGAGCTGTTCTGCTTTCCTGTGGAGGGCTGCAGGGAGGGGATGGCTCAGGGAGATGCAGGTCACACTAGGCAGAGCCTTTACCTGCCACCCTAGGGAGCAAGCACTGTCAGAAGTCTGGATCTAGGAACCACTGGGTTCCCTGCCGCAGAGAGCCCAGCAGCTCTTGCTTTTAGTGGCTGCTGAGACCAGTGGAAAGGAGGCAGGTCCCACCATCTCCCACTGGAGGCCCAGAAATGCCTCTCCACACCCAAAAAGAGAGAGATGGGGGTGATCCCCATGGCTTGGCTCTATTTGGGGGGGGGGTCAGCAAGAGTTGGCAGTGGGTTTTCCCTGTCCCAGGGGGAGAATGCCTGGGCTTCAGCCCTTGCTAGTCAGCACAGAGCAGCGCAGATTCTCACCGTGGCAACTTTATTACAAGTACAGACATCAAAAGTGACAGCAAGGCCCAATAGCCCCTTCCGCGACTCGGCCAAAAAGAAAGATGCAGCGACGCGAGAATCATTTATTCGATACAGTCCCCCCACCCCACCCCAAGCTTTAGTCTTCGGGCAGCAAGGCAAACAGGCTAATAAAAGCAACAGCTAGGACTATATAAATCGAGAAGGAATTAAAAGACAGATCACTAGGCTCCAGGACTGGTTAGAATACTTTGTTTGAGTGTCTCTTGACTCACTGAAGCTCACCAGCAAGAGAGAGAGACAGAAAGAGAGAACCACTCCATTCTAAAAAAAAAAAAAAATCACAAGCTCACTTCTGAAGAAAGAAAAAAAAAAAAAAGGCTCTTCCAGTCTCCTCTACGGGATCCCCACGCTGACACCAATCTGCTGTTCCGCTAAGTCACAAGCAGACACTCAGTAAGGAGAGAATCTCTGCTTTTCCGCTTTCAGTTTGTTAGTAACACAGGGCACAGCTGAGGTGGTGGAGGCACCCTTAGCAGCAGACACAACATTTAGAGCCAGGAGAGGGACGGGTTTCATGCCAAGCAGACTGGAGACACAAGGGGCGGTCGGAAGAGGGTTGGGGAGACTGGAGGGTGCGTCGGAGACCCCCGCGGTGGCGAGCGAGGGGGTGGTGGTGGAGGAGGAAGAAGAAGAAGGGGTGGAGGGTTGAGAGAGGTTGATGCTGAGGTGATCAGGGATCGTGACGGAGGCTGTCTGGGAGGAGGGTTTAGCGCTTTCTAAACTGTAACAGAGGAAAAAAGGAACAAAAGAACGGGTGGGTGGATGGGCACAGCACAGAAAAGCAAAGGACAAACAGCTTCAAAAAAAAAACTGCCTAGCTTCAACAACGTGGGGAGCAGGGCTGGCCACGGCACGACCTCAGCTGAGCCAGCACCCTGCTACACCCCCACCCACCCCAGCGCCCTGGAAACTGGGACTGAAGACTGCTCTATTTATTCAAAAGTGTCCTCAAAAAGGCAGCAAGAAGTCAGGCAGGTTTACAACTGGGAGCTCAGAACGGCAGCTATGCCAAGGCACTGCAGCGTTAACTCCACATGTGCTAGTTACAGAGGCTACAGGCCCTGCGCCTTGCATGGACTGTCAGGGCAGCCTTACCAAACTACACTCCTTTGCTAGCTGAGCAAGCCCAGAGGCCTGTTCCGAGTAAAAAAAGATGCCTCTGAGTACTTTGCAGGACTGGTTTGGTCTCTACAGTCCAGTGTAGACAGCTTCGGTCCTCAGCTATGGTAATGCTGATCAGTAGAGTAAAGGCAGAGGCATTTGGATAGAGTAAGAGCACAAAACAGGCAAGTTAGACTAGGGTTGGTCGTGACTAGTTGCGTTTCCCCTGGTTGCGTTTGTGGACAGTAAGCAGGACTCTGTCCCCAGCAGGTCAGAGCCCTGTGCACAACAGGGGACAGAAAGGGGCCACACTGGCCCCTGACTGCCACCTCCCAGCTGCCTGGGTGCTCTACCACATTTGGGGGATGTGAGCACTGCAGGACACTAGCTAGGCCTGCAATCTAGCACCATGGCCCCTGGAACTCATCTAAGTTTTCCTGGTCAGACTTCAAGAATGCACTTAGCCCTCACTAAACAAGGTAGGCATGGGTATTTCAATAGGCTGCTGCCCCCTCTGCTTTACAAGCCAGCTCCTAACCCTTTCTGCCAGCTCTTTGACCCTAGTCCTCCTGTTACCCAAAATGGACTATTTCCACCCGTGGCATAGCTCTGGTCAAGCCACAGCCATGGCCTCAACTTTATCACCAGGGCACTTGCAAGTAGGTTACTGCCTTTTGCTACAAATGCTGCTGATCTGGGAGGCGGAGCACTATGGTTTTCCTCATTGAGGGGAATGTGTCAAGGTAGCAAGAGGGCAAGAATCTTCTCCGGGCTAGGATCAAAAACCTGGTCAGTGTCATGGTCAGCCCACCCAATGTCACCAACTAAGCCAGGACCCAGGCTACAGTCCACAGAAGCCCAGGAAGAGCTGGGGGCTGGATGGACGCTGCCAGAAGTCATCACTTCAAGCCTGCAGGCAAGAAGCCTCAAAGCCAGGCTCCAATGCTGCCCAGCCAGGCACAAGCCTGTGTTGCGGCAGGACTCCACTGCAGCAGGCTGCGTGGTGGGCAAGGAGCCAGCCAGGCACGCCCCAAAGAGCTGACCTCACCAGTGAAGGGGATGCTTTGCGCCTTATGAGATCACCTGCTCTCCTAGCAAGCTGCGGACAGCACGGCGCAGCGCAGGGGAAGGACATGGCTGGGGAGCCTACAGCAGCCTGCTGCAGCGTGGGTGCCCGCCCACCCAACTGCAGAGCTCAGCAGAGAGCTCATCCCTGCTGTGAGCTTACAATTCATCATGTGCCTCTCCCCATAGGCAGAGTTTAGGGGTTCAGGGGCTGCTATGCAGCGAGGTTGGACTCCACAGCAATACTACAGTCCCTGGTCTCAGTTCTCAGCATTGCTGCCACCCAGCCCCATGGAGACAGGCAGCTCCCAGGATCCCCCCATGTCAAGCAGCTACTGGCATAGGACAAGCACTCTCATAGCCCCAGAAGTTTCATTCTGCCCTAAATTAGGCCTCAGCCCTATTTATTAGCTAGAAGGCTGGTTCTCACTTTTTGTTGTTGTTAAAGTTTATGGGACCCCTGGGGGGGGGGAGAAAAAGCATTAGCTCTTAGTTTTTTCACTCAGTTTTTTGCCTACAGAAAAATAGAGAAGTTTGTCACACACAACTCTGACCACAAAAGACATGGGAGTTTTCATTCTTCTGGACTCCTCTTTCAGCCCCCGGGGGTGTATCTTGGGAATCCCTTTGCACACCTAGCAATACTAACATTGTGAGACACCCTTGAACAGCATTTAAGGCACCTCAAGGTGCCACAGCACCCTGATTGAGAGCCACTGGGCTAGGAGGACATCGATCTAGTGAACAACTCTCTCACAGTGCTCCATGAAAAAAGCACCAGCTCATCCTAGCCCCCTTGATTCAAATCTTCAATCCCATTTGCTTAGCAGTGCCCTAAAAGGCAGTTCCATTGTTGGGAGCAGGGGGCTGAAGCAGGTGGGTAGGTTAAGGGGTGGGGAAAAAGAACAAAAAAAAAAACCAAAAAACCAAAAACCAAAAACATTATGGGGGGCCAGGGAAAAAGCTCATCTCATTTTCACTCAAATACAAGGAAGAGTGGAGTCCTGTGAGCTACAGTGCAGCTGGGCGAGCTGCCCAGACTTCAACGCTGCCCTAGTTTCAGCTGCTGCACCCACTAGTCCACCCCCCCCTTCCCCCTCCCACCACATGCACTCCCTCCGGCTACTCGGAGACTTACCTGACATTAATTAGATATTGGGCCAGGCTAATGCTGGCTGCAGATCCAGTTATGGTAACCTGCCTGTCAGTAGATCCTTCCACTGGATTGGCAATTTTGATCTGTGCCCCAGACATCTGACGGATCTCATTGATTTTGGCGCCTTGACGCCCGATGATGCAGCCAATCAGCTATGGGAGAGAACACTCCTAGTTAAAAATGGGCGCAATGCAGCCCAAGCCACCCCCATGAGAGGCATGACAGCTTCAGGCTCGCTGCCCACCACCCAGTAGCCTCAACTTACACCCAGGGAGATGCTACTCAGCAGGGAAACTGAGGCACTGTGGAAGCCTCAGAAACCCCAGAATAAGAGACATGCATCATGTCTTAAGCACCATCTGGTACTCCAGGGAAGCCAAACACAGCTACTAAAAAGCTGATGCCACCCGACTACAGGGCAGCTGGGCTGAACATACTAGGCTACAGAGGGAACAGTCGATCAACACAATTACCCTGGACACCAAAGAGCAAGGGCATGTTCCTAAATCATCTTGTGCATAGGTAACATGTGCTGTTCCCTCACTTGAGGGCATCAAGTGATGAGGCCTATTTAAATTTTGGCATCTAGAAGCAGCTGCCAGACTTAACTCTACATCTCCCAGTCCCTACCCATCCAGTCTGGGGTGGGGGAAATACTCACATCATTTGGAATGGTGAGTTCATGAGAAGTAGTTTGAGCAGAGGCATCCAAACCTGCTGAAAGACAGAGAGAGAGCAGGACATGCTCAGTGCAATGTGGTGGGGGCCGCAGGAAGATGTAAAGCAGACCAGTCGAACCAGCATTTGCTGCCGGCGTCATTGCTGAGGTTTTTACACAGGAGGAAGGGGGTGGAGGGGGTGGGAAGAGCAAGCAGTGAAAGGTTACTCAACCCCTGCATGAGTCCCCAGCCCCCACCACACTCCTGGTCCCAGAGGTCTGCCCCCTCAGGCTCTTCCTTCCGGTCAGGACAGTCCCAGAGCAGCGCGCCGTTACTGCGTGGGCTCCGGCCAGTGCCCGATGGAACCAGAACACTTGATTGCCAGCATTGGAAGCTCTAAGCCACCCTTATCCCAACCTGAGGACCCCAGCAGGGCATCACTATAATGCCAGCCACTCAGATGAGCGGTGTCTTTCACCTGCTCAGCGTGTACAGATGGGGCCAAGCATACCCTCACCAGGATGCCTCCGCCCCCCCAGTCGCTCCCCGTTTGACACTGATGAGGTTAGGAGAGTTTAAAACCAAGCTGCAGTTAGCTGTCACCCTTTGCTACATGGCACTGGGGGAGCTGCCTTCCTAGCTGCAGGGAAGTTTTGCTCGCTGCCCTGGAAAGCAACAGTTGGCCAACAAGATGAGATGCAATGGGCCTTCTACTGAAGTGTCCAGCTGCGCTCATCAAGCCTAGCATCTCCTTCAGAACAGCTGTCTCCCAGCCCACCCTCATGCCTTTTTTCCCCCCCCACTTCAGCCCTAATAGATTTGGCCATCTTGAGCCCCCTTGCTTTCTGGAGGAATTAAGACACCAACTGATTGTGTCAAAAGCTTCTGCTCTCCACTGCAGATTCCAGCTGCCTCCATCCAAGTGGGTGCAGTCAAGCTAGTCAGTGCCTACAGCCTTCTGCCCCCACCCTGCCACCCCTCATTGCACATAGCTGGCAGCATCTGACAGGACCCACAGACTGTGTTCAGTATTAATACACAATAGAATACTACAGATTTTGTTTTTTAAAAATTACCCCAATAGCCTTTCACCTCTGGAGAGCTGGAGTCAATGCCTGTTAAGATACAAGTGAAAATGAGTTTGGTGGTCTCGACCCTATGGCCCTAAAATGGATAGTCAGCTACATTTATTACTCTACAGCGAATTTGGCACAAGTCAAACAGTCGCCTGCCCAGGACTGGAATAGCCGGAGGGGAGAGAGAGGGGGCTGCAGGTCAGGAGCTTGAGGTGCATTGGCAGAGCTGTGAAGGATGGGGTAAAAGGACAGAAGCATGAAGATCCTGCCTGGTTTATACCTCTAAAGCCCTCAGCTGCCCACCCGGACTGGCGCTGGCAGCAACGGGGGGGCCCCCCCCCGTGCCACAACAAGCATTACCTGATGCGGGGTTTGTTTGGTTTGGTTAAAAGACACCTAAGTGAAGATGATGCCATGAGGCTGCGTTAGAGAAGCCAAGCAGCAGTTCCCGGGCTGGGTTTTGGCCCACGCTAGCTTACAGAAGGAATAGCCGAGTGTCCATACCACTGAATCCAGTGTTGCCATGAGACATTGGAAAGTGTGACTGTTGCATTGCCAACTGGTGCAGCTTGGTCAGCTGGAGAGGAGAGAGAAAGAAGAGGGCTGACATTAGGTAGGTGGGGACTCAGGGCACACCTAGGAATCAAGATCATTTCAAAGAGACCCTGCGTGGCATGCAAAGGAGACCCCCCCCCATCCCCTGCAGAGGGAAGTGGGGGGGGCAAGAAGAGGGCAGACAGGAGAGAACCAGGTAAGCAGCCCCCGTCCCAGAGGAGTGGGGTGAAGAGGAGAAAAGCACTAGGGTGCAAGGCCCAACCCTGGTGCCCAGGAGAGTGAGGGCAGCTGCATAGTGCTAGGAAGGCTCAGGAGAGAAGCAAAACAGGCAAGGGGAAAGGGGTAAAGAGAGGCTCAAGGCAAGGGTGGAGGGGGGGGGGGGGG